AAATCACCTGGTTATCTGTACACTCATATTACGTATTACATAATATCTTTACTTCACTCTTCTGTTTCTCCTGATTGAACTTATTCATAGTTCCAAGAGCCCCCCGTTTTCATTGTGTTTGCACCACAAGAACTGAATGATCATAGTTATCATAGTTAAACTCCATTTAAGGGATGTTTCTAGCTCCGTTTTCAGAGTAGGTACTCTCCCAGCATAAGAAGAACCATGAGTGACATATGTATACATCCACTGGTTGACACGAGCCAAACCGCCATTTTGGAAGAAAAACAAAAAACAAAACAGTTAGCAGTGGAAGAAAACACCGAACAACTGAAAATGGACAGACAGTGAAACCCGGGCTTTACTGAGCTTATATGAGACAGTGGAAATACAACTCGCTTTTTTACTCGTTGAAGCCAAATATAAGAAGATCTTCCATAGCTGGCTTACATCACTTCAGCGTTCCTATTGACAGCATGAATGCAAACAGAAAAAAGCCCTTGAAGGCATGTAGTTCTCTGGGGAGCTCCCCAGTGAACACTTCCTCTCAGGGAGTTCACAGAACAATTTGGTCTAAAACAGCCTATAGTTGCAGATGAAACAATCTTGCAAGTGTTGCATGGAAGACAAAACGGCAGTTTCAGATGGAGACACTATGGAAATCAGTTGAGAATCCCACCTACACCGAGGGGGTACTATCTGAAGTGGGAAATAAAATAGAGAAAAGGACCTGGTGCCAAAAGTGAATCGAGATGAGCCGAACCATTAAGTGGAATTACAGCAAAAGTTCTTGTGGACAAGACGCCATTAACAGACACACTGGCTGCTTTTGGGAATCCAAACTGTGACTAGCTGAAGAACGGCATCTCGGGTCATTAGTTCTTCTTACCAAAAACATGAGCTGACATGAGACAAGTGCAGCAGTGTCTTGGTTTTTGGTTTTATAATCATCAAATTAACTTTTCTTTTAAAAGGATTAGTATGTGACATCTCAGGAATCTGATATTGTATTCATATTGTAATAAAAACATTTACAACTTTTTAATTCTAAATAAAAACATATGAATAAAGATTTTAGGTACATATTTTTTTATAATATGCAATAAAATTTAAAAGAAGTGGAAAAAAGAAGTTGTTGATACTGGGTAAAAACTCAGACCCATGCCAGCATGCAACTGAGATTGGAAAATAAACAGATATGAAAACAAAAGGAAGGAAGATTAACATTTTTAGATGTTTCCTAAACACAAGTGTACTTTTACGTTTCAACTGACCTGTGCGCTCCATACACAGGTCAACTGGAAAATGTGATAACAGACAAAAAACATCATGTTCTTACTATTTCACATATGGGGTAAAAGGCAAATTTATTCCCCTGAAATGTTTTCTGGAATAACACGGGCAAAAAGTTCAGCTCATTCATGTCTGGACCTTTTGCAAATAAGAATAATTTCCACTTGAACATCTCATGCCCTCAAAAACACAGACACACACACTCCTCCTTCACCTACATCACTAAAGGAGGTGAAAGGTTTGCTTCTACTCAACAGTGTCAAAAGAAAGAGTCCAGAACAGGCAGAAATAACCTGTATCCTTTTTCAAACAAGTGCAGTACTTTAGCAGGATTGACAGGTTTAGTTAAATATTTAGCACTCACTTTCAAACCTCTCTAGCTGAGCCAGGAGGTTTTATTAGACAGACCAGGGCTGCAGTGACAGAGGAAGAATTAATGGATGGTGTGATCTTCTTTCTCTGGCAACATATTTAAAGGAAAGATAAAACCTTTGTTGAGATACTCAGGGAGGCTTCGCCATAAAACACCTGTGACCTTCTCTCTTTTTTTCTCTTAAGCTCAAACCTCTTTCACTCTCTCTGTACTTCTCCCTCTCCTTACACCCCCCGTCCCCTTTATTTTTCTCTTACTCCTTTTAATTTTCACTTACATTATAGCATAGCCAGCTAAACTGTTTTAACACAAGACATTACTAAAGTAGCATCTAAAATATGAAAAGCCAAAACTATGACTATCTTTCTCGCTGTATCGCTCTCAAAAACAAAACAAACAAAACAAAAACTAGAATTATCGCCCGACAGTATTTCCCTTACCTTTGACCTTTTGGATATAAAATGTCCTCACTTAATCATTATATCTAATTAGCCATTTTTTATAAAGTTTAGTCATAATTAGTGTAAGAAGTCTTTAGCTATGGACAAAAAAAAATGTTTTGTGAGGTCACACTAACCTTGACCTTTGACGTATCATCACCAAATTCTAATAAGCTCATTGTTGAGTCAAAGGGGATATTTGTGCCAAATCTGAAGAAATTCCAGAGGCATAAAAATTTGACGAATCGTGTGAAACTGACAGACATATAATATTTTCTGTTCTGGTGCTGTTTTGTGACATTAAAGGGACACTTCACCCCCCAGATAACCATTTGTATATCAGTTTCTCCCCCGTGTTACCATGAATTTGTGAAGAAAACATTGTTTTTCTTGCATGCCTCCACACAATAAACAGGAGAAAAGTCTTGATGAATTAAAGTAAATGGGGTCCACGTTTAACAACAAAACTATATCTCAACTCTCACACAACTAACCTATTAAAACATCAAAGTCACACAATAACACAAACTAACAGAACTGATTGAGGCAGCGGTAGACCAGCAGCTCCCATGCTGGGCGAGGTAAAATTATAAATAAGTAGTACTAAGAAAAACAAAGCTTTCTTCACAAATTCAGTGTACCACAGTGTTCTTCTCCTTCACAACGGTTTTGTTTTGCAACCTTTTTCCATTTATTTCAATGCAAAGTTTAAAAAAGGGTAAAACTAAATAGTATGACCTATTTTATCTACTCTTCCAAAGGCTGAAAACATTTAGTCAGTATTAAATATAAACCTATTGTAATAAGATATATCTTCACTGTCAGGTGTAACGCAATTCTTGTTAACAGAAACCAGCTACACTCTCTCTATTATACACAAAGACTCTTCCTCCTTTTTCATGCTCTCATATAAATCTGGCCAGTGTCCCTGAGTGTAAAAAAAAAATGACTGTCATTATACCGAAGCTCTGTTACTCTCTCAGGGCCACACCATCCATCTTTGCTGCCTGTCAGTCAGGAGAGGAACCTGAGCTGCTTGAACACAGGTCTATCCTCTCACGTGTGTTGAATCGGAAGCACTTACACACTCACTCTCACACACACACACACACGCACACACACAAAGGCACAACACAAACAAGAGCAGAGCAGGTGAGATCAGTCTTCACCTGTCCTCACCTGGCTGAGGCAGGTGAGGTTTTCAGTGCATAGCTGTTTACTGTGAATGTCAAAGAGATTACATGAGGTAATGGATTCATTTGTGTCGAGGTTACCGTTTTCATAAGTAGTAGTTAGAAATAGTAATCACAACATCATGCCAATTTCTAGCTTGTCAGGCTTCAGGTAATAGTCTCACTCGAGATGAATTTCCCCTCGCCTGGAAAATGGCTGAGATCGGGTGGTAGCAGCAGTAGGGTGGTGGTGGTGACGAAAGGCTGCGGTCAAGTCAGACAGTTTCCAGCTGCCTCAAAGATTATACACAGTCACAGAAATGTTCACATCCTGTTAGATCCCTCCTGAGGCTACATGTAGTTTACAGACCACAATATGACCTTCATTATTACTATTATCAACAAAACAAGATATGTTTTATAATAGATCAAACCTGTGTGAGACTAACAGACTAGAATATATAGGGCAATATTGACATTTTTGGAGAAGACGGGATTAGCAGAAGAATAAAGTGTACGCATAAGGCTGTTCCAATCCACACTCCATTTCAGAAGGTGGTGGTAATGCACCTAAACGTTGTTTGGCAACCACCATAAAATAGCAGAAGAAAATGAGGATTTTCTACAAAATGTGGTGTTTGTGGCCCGGCGTTTCCCATCATGGCCTAGGTCTTGCAGGTGGTGGAGAGCAACCGTGGCGGCTGGCTCTACAAACTGCGTCTGCCTTGATCTCGTGAGGTTATTACTGCCCATGTTGTTGGCTGATGGCAGTCTGTACATGTACTGTAGGTACTGAGTGTGTGGGATTGTGAATAGCGACAGCTCTGTGTATGGACTGTGTAGATGTAGGAACTGTATGTACAACTTTTTTGTATCTTTGAACGGCAGGTAACGCATGTATCCAAGACAAATTTCCTTCTGGACAATAAAGTCTATCTTATCTTATCTACCTTATCTCATCCATGTGTGATTGACATCCGAGCAAGTTGGGATCAAGTCGGACACAAATATAACTTGGATACATTGTGCAGTGATTGTTAGTGATCAATTCTGCGCAGGCCTGGCTAAACTGATGCATCTATGTCAGCACCACCAGTGGTGTGGACCAATTAGCATTCAGTGAGGAGCTACTGACAGCTGTGGGTGTGGTTTAGGAGTGTGTGACAAGGCACATACACGCAGCTGTTTGTTCAAAACAACAATGCAGCGACTAAAGAGGTTAGCGTAGATGCTGCAATAGCATGAGTTATATCAGAACTGAAGAATATTTCTTTAGTAGAGAGACAAGGATTTCTCGATGGAAAGATGTTTTCGCTCCTTTCCTGACTGGCCAGGGATTAGGGCTGCCTCTCGCTAAGAATTTTCCTGGTCGACCAATAGTCGTCATTTAGGGCCATTAGTCCACTAGTCGCCCGCATGTTTACAATATTAATGTAATTATTAAATGATATATTTTGGGAGGGGCAACACAATGGTTTGAGTTGAAGGTGTGAGAAAGAATAGTATCAGTAACATTGTTAACACTGTGCTACATTACAGGGAAATACAAAACCGTACTAATGAACCTTCATTAATATAGGCCTATATTTTATCTACAAGTGCACGTCACACACTGAGCGAGCCGCCTGTTAATGACGCTGTGGGCTAAATGGCATGTAGCTACTTCCATGTTTCAGATGATACGTCATGTTTGTAGTCGACCAATGAAGATGAGTTTACATATCACCTTGGGTTCGTCCTTTATTTCTTGCCACACAGAAAACACATGCTCATTTGCAAACCGTGACAGACAGATGGTTCATCCAGTCACCTATCAAGTATTTTTTGTGTCCGCCCTTTTCCAAATAATCTCCATTAGCTTCTCAGCTTTTCAGATGGCTTTGTGTAACAAACAATCTGGTGTGTCAGGTTAATGTCCATTGGCCATGTCGCCTGCATGGGCCCTTGCATTTGATTGGTAGAGCCTACCTGCCAATCATCTTGTGTAGCTCCGTCCATCAGCAGAAGTGTCCCGTGACCCAGAGGAACCCGAATCCGCTCCACGTAAGTGAAGTCACCATTCTCCTCCTGACACAAAAACATAAAGAGAGTAAAGCGCAGTGTATAGTTGTCTAATAATAATAATACACACACACACACACAAACACACAAATGGTACAACGTACTGTCACATGACTGAACACAAACTAAGTTGAGGGCACATTCTGTTAGCTGCACATCACGACTATATGCCACTACAACTCATCTACACTGTGACTAATGAAGCCTGCCTCCTGAGAAGTGTATACTTTAACACTTAAAATAACACACAACTATTAAACACATGCCTTTAAATACTCCACTGAGTCTAAACACAATACCTGACTTAAGCCTTCCCTTCTGTGTCCAGCTTTTCACTACCTTACCTTGGCTGCTGCTCTACACTCCACTACCCTCACTCACTTCTTTTTATTAAGATTTGCAGTGGTTCTGCTTTATTAAGTACAGTAGCGTGCAGCAGAGGCAGGAGATAGCCTCTCTGACTGCTAGCCAAGTCATACCACCACACTAACTCATGAGAAACAGCAAAAGGTCAGAAAGAGTGTCTGCAGGTTTTAGAAGGCCAAATCAAATACTTCATGAGACCACTTTAATGAATACTGGGAGCTGGAGGAGAAAATATAATAAAACAAGAATTTTTTTCTAAATTAACAAAACAAGTATATAATCAAGTATAAGAGCAGTATAGTATCTGCTCCTAATGTGAGAATGGACACTAGTTTTCATGCTCCACCATCCTCTCACCGGTGGAGGCTGCTTGCGGAGGCTGAACACTCTGGTGTCGCCCAGACTGAGGGAGGCAATTGTGGGCTTGTTACCCAAAGAGGCCTCGTCGTCACTGTGCCAACCGATGCTGTCATGGCCATCCCGATACAGGTTACACAGCAGTGAGTTGAAGCTGCAGCCGCTCGCCTGCTCCACTGCTTCACGAAGGGTTAACAGCAATGGATGCCACTATGAGGGAACAAAGAAGAAGAAAGACAGTTCAGCAGATATTCAGGAACATCACTGTAAAAAAAAATTAAAGAAATTGATAATGAAAAAATCATTTTAAGAAGGAAACAACATTAAAATAAATGAGACAAGAACACAAGCGAGGAACAAAATATTCAAAGAAAAGATTTACAGACACAAAACAGCACTGTGTATGATGGGAAGTTAAACAAAAATACAAACATATAAACTTATGTAAAATAAAAGTGAGGATTACTTTAAAGTCTTTGAAGTGGACTTTGAGGTTTAATGATTTTATCTAACCTGTGTGTTAGCAGCCATGGTGGAGCGAGCATACGTGTAGGGCAACTCTCCGTACCAGCAAGTCAGCCTGGGCTCATCGTACGCCTCCCCTGGACCAACACACACAAACAGATATACCTTTACTTCAAAGGAACCAGTTCAGATGACAGTCAGGACATTTTGCAGTCTCTATCTGTAACTAAGTCTACTTAACTTCCATGTAGCTCTCAAAATTTAAACCCGTAAACCCCAAACTTACAGTCACAAGGAGAATGTTACTACTGTGGATTATGTATGCTGAGTAGTAAGATCTTCCATATTGGTGAGAAAAATAATACAAAAGTTTCAGTACTCATACTAAATAATACTTTTTTAGTTCTGTAGTTTGGGGAATATGAATACAATTTTTATTAAATCTATATTAAAATTCCTTTAAGGCTTTCTTGAGGTATCGCGTTCACAGGAATGAGATGGATGGATGGACAGACACCTCGAAAACATAATGCCTCCATCTACTGCCTTTGTTGGCCTGTATCTGACTAATAATGTGAAACAGAAGACATAAAAATGTTTTCTGTTCTGGTGCTGTTTTAACTGACATTAGAGGAATACTTCAACCTTTAAATGACCATTTGCATATCAATTACTCACCACATGTTACTGTGAAAAGAGAAAGAAAACTTGTTTTTTTTGCATGTCTCCACAACCAACAAAGACTTAAAAAACTTACAAACTCTCACACAACTCGTGCAGTATAGTCTCATTTATCCCGTCGTATGCTCAGTACTTCCCAAACGTATAGCCCTTTCAGACGAGGAGCTGAATTGAGTGACAAAAATGGTAATTTTACCCTTGCTGAACACTGGAGTTGCTGGTCTACTGCTGCCTGGAGCAGTTAGCTTGTTTGTGTTATTGTACGCCTTTGCTGAATCTGCAGTAACCCTTTAAAAGACCAAAGTCACAGATGATCGAGGCAGCAGTAGACTAGTAGCTACTGTCTTCAGCAAGGTAAAATTACTGTTTTTGTTAAAGGAGTCTGGCTTTGAAGAGCGCATATGTAAGTTTAACTTCCTGTTTAAGTCCCCATCGGAAAGAGCTGTAAGTTTGGGAAGTATTGAGCATAAAAATTGATTAATGTGACTTGGATTATACTGCATAAATTGAGTTAATTATTAAAAACATTGTATTTCTGTTATATGTCTGTCATTTTCACAAGGTGAGTCAAATTCATTTGATATGTTGTTTTTTTTTTGAGAACAATACTGCTAGAGAGAGTCATAATTTGTTGGAATTTGTAAATCAAATCAAAGTTTATTTATATAGTACCTTTCATACAATCGTGCAGCCCAAAATGCTTCACAGAGCAGGAGTAAAACAGCACCAACAAGGTAACAAGTGAATAGCTAGACGTTACTATGATAAACGATGAAATATTTCAAGTAAATAACATTTAAATGAACAAATACATATAGAAAATTCGAAAATGCCAAAGACGAGACTTAAAAACAGAGGCAATAAGAGACGAGGTGCCATTAAGTTAAAGCCAGGCTAAAAAGATATGTCTTACGATTTCTTTTAAAAATGTCCACTGAGGTGGAGTTCCTCCTCAGATGCTCAGGTGGAACTGCTCCATCCATAAATGAATATTTTGATATAGTTTTGCTCTTAAACGCGGTCACCTTTAACTTTAGTTCAAGAATTTTCTTTTTTTGGATTCTTTGTGTAGTGGAGGCATATAAGAAAAAATATAGTTTCTTCACAAATTAAACGGCCATGCATAATTGAGATACATATGGTGTTTTAGGGGCTGAAGGATTTTTGTTTTAACACCAGGCTGAACAGCAGTGTTTCACTGCCCTCCCTGGATGAACTCTGACCACAGACTGCATAACTGCTGCCTAAATAAAATATAATTTGATTCAGATCATGAAATGTCAGAGGTAAAAGTCCCACCAAGACTCAAAGCAATATTTGATATTTGCCTTAGAGAGGACACATGAAAATTAATGTAGGAGTGATTCATTGATTGATGAATTGAAAACAGGTCATACTGGTGGTTCCACATGTTGCAGCCCATTCATATGATACTCCTGCTACCTTTTGAGAATCAAACACTCAATCTCTGCAGGCTTTGAATACACTAACATTTTTTTTCTTTCTCATGGAGAACAGCAGTTGTGGACAGTTTTTCTTCATATCCATCTCTATATTGCATCAGAAATTGGGTCACGGCAATTTCAACTTCAAAGGAGAATGGATCCAGTATGTTTTCATAGCTACTTCTTTTTTTTGCTGAATGACAACTACAGTACAGGCCAAAAGTTTGGACACACCTTCTCATTCAATGCGTTTTCTTTATTTTCATGACTATTTACATTGTAGATTCTCACTGAAGGCATCAAAACTATGAATGAACACATGTGGAGTTATGTACTTAACAAAAAAAGGTGAAATAACTGAAAACATGTTTTATATTCTAGTTTCTTCAAAATAGCCACCCTTTGCTCTGATTACTGCTTTGCACACTCTTGGCATTCTCTCTATGAGCTTCAAGAGGTAGTCACCTGAAATGGTTTTCCAACAGTCTTGAAGGAGTTCCCAGAGGTGTTTAGCACTTGTTGGCCCCTTTGCCTTCACTCTGCGGTCCAGCTCACCCCAAACCATCTCGATTGGGTTCAGGTCCGGTGACTGTGGAGGCCAGGTCATCTGTCGCAGCACTCCATCACTCTCCTTCTTGGTCAAATAGCCCTTACACAGCCTGGAGGTGTGTTTGGGGTCATTGTCCTGTTGAAAAATAAATGATCATCCAACTAAACGCAAACCGGATGGGATGGCATGTCGCTGCAGGATGCTGTGGTAGCCATGCTGGTTCAGTGTGCCTTCAATTTTGAATAAATCCCCAACAGTGTCACCAGCAAAACACCCCCACACCATCACACCTCCTCCTCCATGCTTCACAGTGGGAACCAGGCATGTGGAATCCATCCGTTCACCTTTTCTGCGTCTCACAAAGACACGGCGGTTGGAACCACAGATCTCAAATTTGGACTCATCAGACCAAAGCACAGATTTCCACTGGTCTAATGTCCATTCCTTGTGTTTCTTGGCCCAAACAAATCTCTTCTGCTTGTTGCCTCTCCTTAGCAGTGGTTTCCTAGCAGCTATTTGACCATGAAGGCCTGATTGGCGCAGTCTCCTCTTAACAGTTGTTCTAGAGATGGGTCTGCTGCTAGAACTCTGTGTGGCATTCATCTGGTCTCTGATCTGAGCTGCTGTTAACTTGCGATTTCTGAGGCTGGTGACTCGGATGAACTTATCCTCAGAAGCAGAGGTGACTCTTGGTCTTCCTTTCCTGGGTCGGTCCTCATGTGTGCCAGTTTCGTTGTAGCGCTTGATGGTTTTTGCGACTCCACTTGGGGACACATTTAAAGTTTTTGCGATTTTCCGGACTGACTGACTGACCTTCATTTCTTAAAGTAATGATGGCCACTCGTTTTTCTTTAGTTAGCTGATTGGTTCTTGCCATAATATGAATTTTAACAGTTGTCCAATAGGGCTGTCGGCTGTGTATTAATCTGACTTCTGCACAACACAACTGATGGTCCCTACCCCATTGATAAAGCAAGAAATTCCACTAATTAACCCTGATAAGGCACACCTGTGAAGTGGAAACCATTTCAGGTGACTACCTCTTGAAGCTCATGGAGAGAATGCCAAGAGTGTGCAAAGCAGTAATCAGAGCAAAGGGTGGCTATTTTGAAGAAACTAGAATATAAAACATGTTTTCAGTTATTTCACCTTTTTTTGTTAAGTACATAACTCCACATGTGTTCATTCATAGTTTTGATGCCTTCAGTGAGAATCTACAATGTAAATAGTCATGAAAATAAAGAAAACGCATTGAATGAGAAGGTGTGTCCAAACTTTTGGCCTGTACTGTATATGTAGGGCAGAAAGCTGACACAGTTTTGTTCTTAATATATTCGTTTCCTACGTTAACACACACATGTAGAGTGATCATCTGCACCAAAATCTATTTCTAGCAGAATGTCAGATAAGGTTAGCGTCTAAATCCAGTTTCTCTCTGTCTGTGTTGCTCTGCTGTTCTTTCTCTGGGAACAAGATCTCTTCCAAGAACCAATTCTCTGCCGTAAGTGTGTTTTGGCCGGCTCTCTGGTACGAGAACATGGTGAAACCAAAACAAACTGCTCGAGCAGCCATTGCTTTTTATGGTGCTGAATTATTCAGGGCCTCTGGAGCTAATACTTATAAATATCTGTGAATATTTATCAACTTTCAAAAGTCTTGCCATGAAAAGATGCTATCAGTGGAAAGATTAACAAAACCTACAGGATCCAATTTGGAGTCGTGAGCAATGGTTGGAAAAATTGAGTCAAGAGGGTTTTAAAACAAACAGGATAAATGACAGGCGATGGAGGAGAGGCGACCGGTGAGGGGTTAACATCTTTTTTCCACTACTTCCTCTTTAACCCAAACATCACGTGGACTTTGTTGACAAAGCCTCAGCACTGATGGATTGAGATTACACAACTTTATGTTCTGTGTTTAGAAATCATCTCAGTCACTTGTCTTTATCGTGCTGTTTGTCTGCTGTGGAGCTATCGCAGAGTTAACACACAAGATGGATGAGAGCCAGCTGAGAGAAAGGCTGATTCTGAGGCAAAGTCTGGCTGCAGCTCAACAGGCTCGCTGTATTATGTCTGGGTACAATGCACGAGTTATTCTTTCCTCTTAAAAGGAAAATGCCAACTGTTTGCACAACTTACACACGTGCAAGACGAGAGCAGCTGCAGTTTTTGCTTTTGGCAAGTTTTGTAATCTTCTCAAGATATACTGTACTTTTTAATTATTATTGTTATTAGTAGCAGCATTGGTGGCAGTAAAGGTAGGGTTATTATTAACATCAGTGTACTCTCTTTTTATTATTATTCATCTACACTCACCAGCCACTTTATTAGGTACACCTTGCCAGTACCGGGTTGGACCCAGTTGCTGCAGATCTGTCGGCTGCACATCCATGATGTGAATCTCACGTTCCACCACATCCCAAAGGTGCTCTATTGGATTGAGATCTGGTGACTGTGGAGGCCATTGGAGTACAGTGAACTCATTGTCATGTTCAAGAAACCAGTTTGAGATGATTTGAGCTTTGTGACATGGTGCGTTATCCTGCTGGAAGTAGCCATCAGAAGATGGGTACACTGTGGTCATAAAGGGATGGACACGGTCAGCAACAATACTCAGGTAGGCTGTGGTGTTTAAACCATGCTCAGTTGGTACTAAGGGGCCCAAAGTGTGCCAAGAAAATATCCCTCACACCATTACACCACCACCACCAGCCTGAACCGTTGATACAAGGCAGGATGGATCCATGCTTTCATGTTGTTTACACCAAATTCTGACCCTACCATCTGAATGTGGCAGCAGAAATCCAGACTCATCAGACCAGGCACGTTTTTCCAATCTTCTATTGTCCAGTTTTGGTGAGCCTGTGTGAACTGTAGCCTCAGTTTCCTGTTAGCTGACAGGAGTGGCACCTGGTGTGGTCTTCTGCTGCTGTAGCCCATCTGCTTCAAGGTTGGACGTGTTGTTGGTTCAGAGATGGTCTTCTGCAGACCTTGGTTGTAACCAGTGGTTATTTGAGTTACTGTTGCCTTTCTATCATCTTGAACCAGTCTGGCCATTCTCCTCTGACCTCTGGCATCAACAAGACATTTTGACTCACTGGATATTTTCTCTTTTTGGGACCATCCTCTGTAAACCCTAGAGATGGTTGTGTGTGAAAATCCCAGTAAATACTCAGACCAGCCCGTCTGGCACCAACAACCATGCCACATTCAAAGTCACTTAAATCACCTTTCTTCTCCATTGTGATGCTCAGTTTGAACTTCAACAGGTCATTTTGACCATGTCTACATGCCTGAATGCATTGAGCTGCTGCCACTTGATCGGTTGATTAGCAGTTGAACAAGTGTACCTAATGAAGTGGCCAGAGAGTATGCCCAACAGCAAACCAGCTGCAGTGGGGGAACCCTGTTCACGCTGCAGCTTCCATCAAAGGCTCACATTTCACCCCCTCCATACTGCTTACCCTTAAGCCCCTGGTACCCACCCTGTCTGTAGTTGGTCTTCTGGGACCAGGGAAGCTCTGCTAACAGCTTACTGAACATCCAGTCCGCCTGCTCTGGGGGAAGAAACCCAGGCAGCAGCCGCAGTCTGGACAGATGGAAAGACAAAACACACACTGACACCAAGTACCCAGAAAATGAAGGTGGATACATAAATATACAGCATGTAGCTCATATATATTTAGTGTTTGTACAGATTAGTCAAAAATAGGGCACCCTGGTGGCCTACTGTGTGTTTTGGGTGCCAACCAAAACTCCCTGTTCTAAGTCTGGACATGAACCTTTTTCTGTCACCTCTATTCTATCAACTCTCTGATAGAGGAATAAACTTAATATGTAGAATGCTGCAGCAAGGTTTCTAATTGGTACCAGAAAAACAGACAGCATTACACTAGTACTAGGATCCCTGCACTGGCTACCTGTCAAATACAGGAGTGTTTCTGAAGTTCTCTTATTTGTTTTTAACGCTACAGTAGGTAAGTTTTATAAAAAATAACTCTGTCATATTTACGAAACTGTCACTAAGTCCCAGCAGTAATAAACAGATAAACTATGAAAAAAAACCTCTGGCTCCTCATGGCATTTACAAGAGCCATGCGCCTGCACAAGCAGTGGTACATGTGCAGTGTGCACAGCAAAGACAAGTAAACAGAGGGAGAAGATGACAAGAAGTATACTAAACATAAAAGAAACAAACCGAGCCAGAAGTGAAAGAAGAGTAAACATTTCAGTGGCTAGAGAGCTACGGCACCTGAAAGGATTCAAAACCGATGCTGACTCAGGTTCAAGGGAGCTGCGAGGGAGGGAGGTTGCACATTGTATGCATGAGCAGTGATTAATATTACGTTTAAAATCTCCTCCTGGCTCTGATTAGTTGTTTTTGTTCAGATGCTGTAGATTCATGCAAATGACACAGGGTGTCTACAGGTATCAGATGGTCAAATTTAATGCTTTGTAAGACCCTTTCAAATCAACCAAATTTAGGATAGACTTTTTGCGTTTTACTTATTTAAGCATTGCAGTTAAGTAGTCTATATATGTGGTCTTGTGCAGAGGAAGGTGTTATGTAGGAATATTGTTATTAGAGTGAGTTAAGTCAACCTACATTTTGCCAATGGGTAAGAGTAAAATGTAAAGTATTATAGTTTTTTGGGTTTTTTTTAGAGAGAGATTTGTAAAATTAGAAATTTAACTTTCACATAAAAAGCGTTGCTCCTTTTCACAAAAAGAAGTTGAATAAATGAAATACGATAAAATGTTTGTAGTAGTTAAGACCTCACATATTCAAGATTAAGACTATTTAATGACTTTTAAGGCCTTATTATTGTAAATTTGAATTTAAGACATTTTAAGACTTTTAAGGACCTGCAGACACCCTGTGACATTAGGAGCACTAGGAGGAACCTAATTTGTCAAAGATTTTCTGTCTCATGTACTGTCAGCATATAGTAACAATTACAGAAAATATGACAAAAAGTTATTAAAAAAAAAAGCCATGTATGGGCACCACTATACTTGTCTTAACTCCTCTGGTCCTACTCCAACTCTAGGCTTCTCAGGACAGTTACTTTGAACTGTTTCACAATTGAGGCTCATGGGTAAGGAGTCCATGCATTCCAGGTGGCAGCCCCAACGCTTTCGATTAGCCTTCCACTTTTAATCAAATGCCCCCCGCCCCCTTCAAACTTATGAAACAAAACTCTTGATGTACATGTTTTAGTGGCCTTTGGTTGCATTCAGTGGTATTAACATTTCAGTATTTTATTTTTTATAAATTTATCTCACACATCTTATTCTGTTTCTGTTTCAGACACGCACATAATAATAATAATAATAATAATAATAATAATAATAATAAAGACTTTATTAAGGACACAAGCAAGAGGTCCATAGTGACTAAAAAATACATAAAGACAGACAATAAAAACAACAATGCAACAATACAATAAAAACGTACATCAATCACAGTCATAGCAGCCATTATCAACCAGATGTAGTCACGGAGGGACAGACATCAGGTAGGCTTTCAGCCCTCACATACAGACTGGAGCTTCAGTGGCTCCACAGTCTTGAAGAGAACCGAAACGAGCTCTTCTTTCCGTCACACAGGTACAATATGATGTTATTTCCTGAGGCCGACAGCCTGCACATAAATTTGTACATGAGATTGCGTATTACAGCAGAGCAGTTCGGCACCCCAACATTCACAAACACCTCGCTGGCACTGCACCAATGGGGAAGCTTTAAAAGCATCCTCATGGCATCATTATAGGCCACATTTAGTCTCTGCATGTTTTTTTGCTATAAACACGCCACAAATGGGCAGTGTACAGAGGAGTACAGTATGCTCTAAATAATGCTACTTTAACATGTGTAGTGCACATGCTAAACTTCCGTGCAAGCTGATTGGCCTGCAAGTAAAGCTTGCGACACTGCCTGTTAATATCTTTATCATCTGTCAGATCATTTACAATATGATGGCCAAGATATTTCACCTCATTACATTCTTCAAGAACAGAACCAGATAAAAAGAAATCAGGGAAAACTAATTTCCTATCACCTTTACTTCTGACTATCATAATGTTACTCTTAGTTGCATTATATTTGATGTTGAAGTCATGATATTGCCTTATATTTTTCCACTGCCATTTACTGTTGTTATTTTACTTGCTATTGCTGTACTGTTCATTTTAACTTTAGCAGCACTTTGGTCAACTCTGGTTGTTTTTAAACATGCTGATTAAATCCTAATCAATCACACTCACAGAATCAATCAGAGCACACTGACTGTAAGGTTCCTGTGGCCCTGAGCCTTAGCTTCCTCACTCTTCATTTTCTGTAATCTTAGTGGATCTAGTTATTTTAGTCTTTAAAAAAGACTAATTTTAGTCTTTAAAAAAGACTAAAATAGGCAGCTCAGTACCTAATAAGTATATGGAATATTCTGGTTGTTCAGGAAGCTTACGTGCAGCATGTGTTCATACATATTTAGCATCTGCTAAAAAACATTTCTGTGTCCTCAGAGGGTAGCACCAGTGAGGTAGGAAAGGTAACATTCACTGAGCGATATATACACTGTTGTTTGTGGGTTACTGCCATCTAGTGGAATTAAAACTCAATCACAGATTTGTTATATTCACTAAACACACTGTTTTAGTATTATCATTTTTTTTATTCTCTTCTTCTCCATTTATTTTGCACTTTTTCATCTACACAATAATATTGCACTGACCTGGACACTCCTGATGGTCCATGGCTGATCTCATGATCACCTGCTTGTCTGTCCAGGACAAAATTATGTATGTCAGCCAATGTGTACATAGCATACAGCCCAATATCAGGCCAAAAAATCACAGGACAAAAGACAGAGGCATGTTTATGATAGAAAGAGCCTATCCAGTAGGGAAAGAAATGTGTTACTTACTCTATCACCTTCTCTGGTGGAACATCTCTAACTGGCTGCAATGTAAAATGGACACAACAGAGAAAGATTAGCACAACCAAATTACCCCAAAATTCTACAGTTACTTTTTGAGTTTAGTTTCTACCTTGGTGGGCTGAAACTCAAATGTGTTAGGTGCTTTCTGTGGCCCACATCCCCATGAGCTAGGGCCTTGGTTGACATTTTTGGGTGGTTGGTTGTTTGAGACTGCACCTGATGAAAAAACAAAAATAAGAAGCTGTTGTCAACACATTAGGCACGTTAAAAGGTATAAGAATCCAGCCTCCAGAGCTATGATTAACTAAATCTATAAATAAATAATGATCTAATTAATGATGAGCAGGCAGAGGGAGTCACATACAACCAATACAACAGTATATGTAATGGCCCTTAAATTACCTGCTGGTCCTGAGTGTTTTGGCAGTTGTTTGGCCCAAGAGCCCTGGACTCTGGCTCGCTGACGCTTATCTGACATCACATCTGCGGGGTGACAAAGGAAGAAGAAAAAGTCTTCATCACCAAAGAAACAAATTCTCCACAAACCAACAGGAATACAGACAGCTCATCACTTGTGTTAGATTCCTCCTAAAAAACACTATAAATGAAAGGACCCATTCATTTTAATAACTTTGGAGGTAGCACAAGTCTTCCAGCAATAGTTGAGGAGTAGTGAACTAAATGTAGGCTAATTAAACTTGTAGTCTGACAACAAATTGCACTAGCTTGTTGGTAGTTCAACTACATTTATTTTTGCATAGTTATTCAAGTAGTTAAATTATTTTTCTGCTATTTCTGTGTAGTTGTGCACTTCAACCAAAAACAATTTTGAGCCATAAAAGGACTGATTTTTTTTTTTTTAATTCTTATGTTACCACTGCTTCTCTACTGTAATTGAGCCCCCCTTTCACCACAATTAGCCATCAGTATTGACTATTTTTTGTTATTTACAAATGTTCAGAGAAGTTGTAGCATGCTATTTGACAAGCTAACTGCCTAAGTGAGTCATCCTACTTGTAGCGATACCTCTACCTGGATTCTAATTCCTGGAAAGCAGCTGTCTGACTGATGGACACTGTATACAAAACCATGGTGACATTCCTGCACTTTCCAAATGAGTAGTGGGATATTTTACTTTTTTAGTTTATGTATGACCTGTAAACAAGTGGGCACTTACTGCCTTAAACTCCTTAAGCTGGCATGTGACATTTCTTGTATTATATGTTGTTAAAATTTCATTAAACATGTACATTGTCAATTTGATTATTTTTACAAAGTAGTTTGAAACCAAACTAGATTTCTCCCTAGGACAGCTTCTTGGTAGTTCAGCATCTTCCAGTGTGAAGTAATTGGTAGCCAGTAAAGTTATGTTTTCAAAGTAGCCTCCCCAACACTGTCAGTGGCATCCAACATTTAGAGAACCAAATAAATAACTGTACACGTCCTGCTTTATTTCCTTCTTTCAGTGCATGGCTGTGTGTGCACTATATGCCTTTAATATTTGGTGGCAGTGTTTTAGTTGTGTAGTCCTTTGTAATGCTTTGTCTATTATTTCAGAATTATGATATAAATTTCTATGTCTGTTTTATAAAGACTTTCGTCATCATTGTTTTAATTGACGCTGTATTCCACTGCATGAGCTTTGATGTAGTCTATCTGTCTGCTTTTTATCTTAGTTGTGTCTTTTAATGTAAACATCAAGCTGCTAAATTGAAAAATAACTTGAAAGCAATTCATTCACAGATACTAGGCATTTTGAACGTTAACTTACCATTAAATCCATTGTTTTTTATTTAAGGTGCAATCCCTGATTGAGCAATGGGTAACAGAAAGGCCTACTTGCTGCATATTCTCTCATTGGTGGCAAAACAATGGCTGCAACCACTGCCTCCTGCTCTCCCTCAATGGCAAAACAGCTTACTGAAAGTGTACTCAATGGAAAAAGACAGCAAAACTCCATGTGAAGATAGACACTTTTTTTTATTCTATGGGCTCCTGTAATTATGTATTTTAGGTTACCAAAGTCATACGGCAAAGGTTTTTCTTTTGGGACTCTTGATGTGCATGTTCGTTTACCTGACATAGCAGCAATGTAAAATTCAAAGCTGCATAAACATTTTGTTAAAAAAAAAACATCAAGCTGCTGATAAAAACATCCTGCACATTTTTATCCCAAATAGAAATTTAATTTCCTCTTTAAGAAACATTTAATTAACATTATCTTCTACCTCGGTCTTTTCACTTCTTCACTCGCCGAAAAACTGCAGACTCATAAAAGTGGGTTTTGATTTTATTTTAGAGTTAAATATACAGCAACTTGATTTAATCAAAAAGCTACCTACTTTAAATTATATTTGAGTGACATGTTGACAAAAAAACAACAAACTATAACAAATTCTTAGCCTAACCCGACAACTGCTGAAGCTATCAGTTAAACGGTATTTTAGCGAGTAAGCTTGTCTTACTGGAACAAACCTATATTGAGTTAACTGGCTATGCTAACTGAGCTAAACCTACTTAAAGTTACTTCATTGAACACTATGTGAGGGTCAGAATTAAACAAATATCTAGCTGATTAGTGTTGAACCAAATCTTTAAACAACTCACCAAAATAGCTGCTAACACACAGCACGTCAGCTGAAATACAAAAGAGACAAGTCTACAGAGCTACAACGCCTGTGCTCTGACAGCCATGGTGAAAGTGTGCTACAGAAAAACAAAGCCTACCCGGAACTGAGATGGGAAAAAAAGGTTCCGGCACGTTCTTCGTTTCTCTGTGCCTCTAATCTTTGATTAATGTGATCCAGATACAAAAGTGGAAAGCAACTAAATACATTTGCTTAGTTACTGTCCTTCAGTACAGTTTTGAGTTACTTGTACTTCACATTATGTGCTACTTAATACTTCTCCACTACATTTCAGATGGAAATATTACCACTGTTTACTTCACTAATTTGCCAGCTATCACTAGTTTGTTTGTAGATTAAGATTTCTCATTCCATACAAAGTATTGTGAATAAAATATGACACAACATTACAGATTAAACTACCCAACAGTATCTAAACTACTAAACATTAGCTCCACCTTTATGAGCAACAATATACATGCTGTTGCACCAGTGCAAATAATCCATACAATAAATACAGTGGGCTAGATAAAGAAATAACACACAAATAGCCCATTCTATATAACAAGTAGGCTACTTCTACTTTTCCTGATAATTATGTTTATATTGTTTTATTTAGTATTCTTTCATGCAGGACCTTTACTTACACTCGTGTTTTTATAGTTACTACTACCTTTACTTAAAATACAAGTACCCTAAAACTTCAATTAAAATCCCAGTCCCAATTAAACGCCCAGTCTCTTTTACTAGCCTGATGTGGCTACACATTTTGACAAAAACTGCCAGTCTTAATTAGAGGCCTGGTCTGGTTGCCAAGCAGTCCATTTTTATAGAACTTCTTTGGATGTATAAAAAACGGATTGTTGGCTACCCACTTGAACTAACGGTAGTTAGCTGTTTAGATCAAATATACAGTACAAATACAAATATAAATCTTTAAACTTTTGTCAATGTGGAGCTGCTAATATTGTTATCTCATGAGCACCAGTGAAGACTGCAATGCATTGAAATATACCATCCATCCATCCATACATTTTCGAACCGCTTATCCTCTTGAGGGTCGCGAGGGGACTGGAGCCTATCCCAGCAGACACTGGGCAAGAGGCAGGGTACACCCTGGACAGGTCGCCAGACTGTCACAGGGCTGACACATAAAGAGTCACCAATTAACCTGCATGTCTTTGGACTGTGGGAGGAAGCTGGAGTAAACCCACGCTGACACAGGGAGAACATGCAAACTCCGCACAGAAGGGCTCCCTCCTTGGATTGAACCAGGAACCCTCTTGCTGTGAGGTGACAGTGCTAACCACTACACCACCATGCCGATAAAAAAAAAAAAAAAGTAGTGACTCCATCTGAAGCTTGCATAAAGTCAGAATATGTGTCCATTCCTTGATAACCCGGGAGGTTATTTGTATTTCTTAAGTCAGTAAGGGTCCACCGAGCAAAAGAATCAAATTTGTTTTTCATAGAAATGAATCCAAGTTATAAATATTGTTTTAGCAGGATAAAGTGGTATTGTTTCGGTATGCTGGGTGCAATAAAACAAGTGTTATAACACATAATTGATGCTATTCAAAGCCTAATTTTTATACAAGTAATATTTATACAGGTTCAAATAAATAATTTGATTGTATTTCCCATCTTTGTTGAGCAACAGTTTTGTGTAAAAGGAATTAAAGGCCTGTCCCATATAGACGGCTGTCCCAAATATAAGCCTGTTGAGTTCAGTGATTCAAGCAAATAATAGCCCAGGCTACTAATAGAAGTTTTATGGTACTTCTTCCAGCACAGTCCAGATCTATTTAAAAAAAAACACACACACACTTACACAATCACATACTGTATGCCAAAGCTTTTATTATCAAACAGTAGAAAACATGTTTCCTGCTACATAAATGTAAACAGTGCACTTTACATGTAGAAACTCAATTTTTTTTTTATTTTCAAGCATATTAAAAGACTTGTTACAAAGGAAAAGCATTCACAAGACCACTTATTTAAGGCACAGGTCAGACCAAGTCATATAGGTATTCAATTGTGCAGCAGTCCTCCTGTTTTTAAAGTAAACATTTGGTAGCATTTAAACCAGTATGATGTAAAACCTTCATATTTGCGTTTTATCTTCAACTGGAGGAATATTTGCTCCACAGTAAATGTTCTCCATCGCTGTGAAATCCTTTCAAAACACCGGAGGACCTACTGTAAAGGTGCAGCGATTTGGAGGTTTGCCTTCGTCTGTTAAAGGTTTACATTTGATTAAAAGAGGCATAGAAGAGAGACATGGTCACATGGACATGGCACCAGCTGAATTACATCCTTTCATAATACATTGTTAACCAGTCAACACCAGCTCATTGAATCTGACACATTTCCAGCATTCATTTCAGTATAAAGTTACTTGTGTTTAATGTGCCAGTTAATGAGAACTGTGTGACAATCTTTGGTTTATAACAAGTGATAAATTGGTGCAACAAAACCCTCCACAAATTATCATTTTAAATATATTGAAAACAGGCAATATAGACACAAAGGGAAGAAGGAGCCAATGCATGATGATAGCAGCTCAGTAACGCAAGTAAGATGACATGAAAGAAAGCAGAAACTACCATCTTTAAATGGCTCAGTGATTTGTAAACAGGGCAATGCAGAAGCTGAGCTGGCTCAAGTGTTCATACAAATAGAAAATAAATAATTTTACAAATATATATACTGCATATTTAAAAAAAATGCCCACCACCATTTTCCACTGCTTACAACAGCAGGGTTAACAAATCACTCATTTTTTGGTTGTAGTATTTCCACCATCAGTGTCAGTGACAAAATTATGTCCTTAACCAAGAGCAGCATTTTATTATCATTTCAGCTCCTGCCTTCTTTGGTTATTTTTCTCCAGAAAAATCATATCAGGTCAGAGTTTGCCGTCTTAAACACAAAGTCATACACATGCTTTGATGAGCACGTTTACCGAAGGCGCAAATGTGAAATCTCAGGCAACCCTGGAGGACCAACCACTCAGATACTAACACAAGCTCTCCTTTGTTTTAAATGCTGCACCGGGTCAGAACAGAGTGGCTGCCTGCAGATTCGTCAGCCATCTTTCTAATCACTCTTCAAAGATGTGCCGTTCTTCTGTTCTCGCAACTTCCTCCTCTGCAGGTATCCAGTGCGCTGCAGACGGTTCATTCTGGCTCCGAAGAAGATGACCAGGTTGCTTGGCACCAGCTTGGTGGTCACCCAACCCTGCGAGGAAAGAAACGACACAAAAGAGATGCATGGGTTTACAATTGATTTAAAACCTAGGTTCAGGTTTTAATCTTAAAATTTCAAAAAAAGTTTCCAAGACATCTTGAAAAATACAGGTTTTATGTCACTTAATCTAATTTTGTAGAACGTTAAACACTAAGAAAAACACACCTAATCTAAAAAAATAAATTTTAAAAAAGCGAATTATAGGTGACATAATGCATCCAACACTCCAAATTCTGTTATTTTATAGCATCATCAACAGTTTCCACATATTGTTTAAGACAAACTACAGCCTGGATGTATACTGATGTGTGTTTCAAGTGAATATACATTTAATCTTAACTCCTAAAGGGGGATTAAAACCAACTACTGAGCCAGATAGTTCAGTTGTAAACTCAACCTGGGCCCTGATTTCCCATGTTTGTGTTTAAGTTACTAATGGAGACAACAATTTTTTAAATTGGTCAAGTATTGAGACATACAAGTAATTGTGCACCATCAATTTGCATCCACTTGAAGTGCTTGTTTTTGCCACTGACAGACTCAGATTGTCATTAGAAGTGTTTTATAACATTATGGAAAGGATCCCCACAGAGAAATGAAACCAAGTCTCACTCAAGAAGAGGCATTGTTCTGAAATCTCATGAGAAGTGATTTGTTGCACGAAAAATGATGGTGGGAACGTCACAGCAAGTTGGAGAGAGGAGTGCCAGGATGACTTTGTTGTGTTGGAGCACGTAAAGCATCTTCTAAGCGTTATTTAAAAGACTTTCAACATCATAACAGAATATCTAGCTGATTTTTAGAATGTGGAAAAGTCCGCCAGATTTCAGAATGAGACTTCTCTTTGAGGAAGACATGGTTACACACACTAACAAACACACCGGATCACCAAAAGGTTTTTTAAATAACAATAATAATAATAACAATAATAATAATAATAACAACAACAACAATAATAACAATAACAACAACAACAACAATAATAACAATAACAACAACAACAACAACAACAACAACAACAACAACAATAACAATAATAATAATAGTTTCTCTGTAGGGTCTTTTCGGCAATCTTTGCAGACACTCATAGCAATCTTGGCCACCTTTTGTACTGCAACACAACAAACTCTTCCCATGACTCCTCTCTCCAACTCTCACTAATGTTTCTACCGTTGTTTTTTCCTGCAACAAGTCACCTCTCGCAAGATTTCAGAGTGAGACTGCCCCTTAAGCGAGGCTTTGTCACAATAACAAACAGGCCAGCAAAAGGTAAAGAAAAGCATTTGATTTCTCTGTAGGATCTTTTCCATAATGCTATCAGACACTCATAATATCAGTCTGAGCTTATCGGTGGCAAAACAAGCACTTTTAATAGATATAAAAATCAATGGTGCACAACTGCACTGCAATTAAATTGCAGCCTGTTTCTGTGATGCAGTGGTCTCATATTTTGTCTCTATTAGTCACTTAGACACAATAACACAGGAAACTAGTGTCTCAGTTCAAGAGTACTGACGTTTCCCTTTAAGTCTGACATCCCTTACTAGGAGCAGCATTGAAGTAGGGTTGCAACGGTATGAGATTTTCAAGGATTGATAGCAGTCTTAGAAAATATCGCAATTTCATGATATTACAGAATTTTCATAATTATCATAGATAAGCAAATGTACACGGTATGATAACCGTTAACTTCTATATCACGTTATACCTTAAAACTGCTATATAGCTGCAACCCTACATTGAAGTTTACTTGATGTATTCCTGGACAGGTATTTTGAGGTTTCCACTTCTTACCATGACAGCGTGGGGGAAATAGCCATTGGTCTGGCTCTGCAGACCCACAGTGGTGAGCTCAGCTGCCACATAGCGCTCTGGGGTGGGCTTGTCCAGGGTGGGCTTCCTGATGCGAGTCATTTTGGTGGCCACGAAGAAAGGCAGCACACTCTGCATGAAGACAGTGAAAAAACATGTGAGATGAGCTCAAAAACACATCAAGCCTGTAACAAACCTCTTTTTCCAATCATAGAATACGCAAAATTTGAATAAAACAAAGTCTTAGTTCTTCCTCAGGTTAGTGTGAAGTTTCAAACTTCCACAGATGAACTCCAGATTTGCAGCACAAACAAAAGTTGCATCATGTGCCCTGCTGTGAGACTGACAAATAACCCTGTGAAATGCACTCAAAATACATCAGATCTTTGCTGTAACCTGGTCTGACGACTGTGGTTTCATCAGGTGAAAACATACTCTGAGGTTTGCTGAGGTGAAACTGTGGTGCACACTTCAACCACAAGGTGGCACATGAGTGAATACTACAGAGGGTGCTAAAAACAGAACAAACAAGCCTTATGTGGAACACCATTTTCAAAAATACCTCTTCTCTGAAAAATGCATATCAGGGGTTTAATTTGTGAATGTGTTGTCGTTCCATTAATTTTCAGCCAACACTGGTTGGGAACAACAAGATTTTGTAACTTCTTTTGAGTTAAATCTGTGAGGGATTTCATTAATGGACAGATCTTATGTCCTTTGACACAAAGTCTACAACAAAAAGATGTCTAAAAAATTAGAGAAATATAATAAAAAATAATTAGTTATGTTACTTATACATTTAATTTAGTTTTTGTCGAACATTTTAAACTTAAAGCCACCATTCAAGTTTGGTCGACAGCAGCTCCTCCGGTCTTCACAGTACAGATGTCCTGTGGATCATATACAGTCCCATGAAGGGTGAGGTGTAATCACTGTGTATAATATTTTCAGCTTGGATTAGGATAGTTTGACAGACTTCCAGTGAGCAAATGACACTATGATAGAGGAGACTGGGCCTACAGTGGTATGGTCTGTGCTACTCACTCTCGGTTTGCACAGGGAAACAATGTTGTCAAGCTTTTCTAACTTCCTGGCATCTGCCTGGGTCGGACACATTCTTATGCAAAAAAAAAAAAAAATCTTATGCAGGGCAGAGGAGAGGTAAGTCCCAAACTCACCTGAATGATGATGCCCTGACGCCTGTACTCCTCCTGAAGGCCACGAGAGAAGAAATCCACAAAGGCCTGCACACAGAAGAGTGAAACATGGTTAGTTTTAACACATGAGTTTGTAAAATGTTGGTTTGTTATTACAACCTCCAAATGAGGCAAAAATGAAGGGTTGGCTTAGGGAAACAATTTAGTCTCCAAAGAGAATTCTTGCTTGTTAAAACAGGACAGACAGGTATAGATGTTGAACATACCTTTGTGGAAGAATAGACAGTAAGCAGGGGGACGGGGTACATGCCGCTGGCAGATGAGATGTTCAGGATGACACCTTTGTTACTGAAAAACACAACAAAGTGGATTTAGGAAAAGGTCTTGAACAGTGAATGAATGAACGAACTCCACGATTCAAAGCTACCATGATTTGATGATGTGGCATTGTGGCATTAAAATTACACATGACAAAGCGGGGGGGGGGGTTAAAAAAAAACAGAGGGTATTGGGGTCCCCTGGCCTACAATAATAAGCATCAAATACTTAATTTCCTGCATGATAGTAAATTTTCTGCACCAATTTGCGCTTTTTCTGCATCAATTTATGGCATAAATGTCTTTAATTTTGTTAAAGTAAATGTCCTCTCCTACTTAAATGCACATGTTCCAAATATTGAGGAGGACATGTCCCCTGCGTCCCACCCAAAATCTACACCTTTGCAACAGAGGCTTCATTGTTCACTTGGCATTTTAAAACATTAAAAAAAAACCTTAATCTAAAACTGCTGCCATGACACAAATCTACATCAGAGGGCTTTCCTCAATATGTGAAGCACTGATCCCAGAACAGCACAATACATTTTCAGAAGTCCTTATTTTGTCTTCAAATCCACAAACTTTCAAAGATTTTCCATGCCAGTGGGAACCCTGTGTCTATACACATTCAGCACACTCACAGATACACTCAAAGTGATGTTACACACACACATACACACACACTGAAACAGTGTGGTAGTGGCCGTGTGTGTTGCCATGGCAGCCTGTTGCTGCAGTGATGTAGTGGAGCGACGCTCCAGCCTCACACGGCACCAAATGTGCCTGCGCTGCTATTGGCCGGCAGGAGTCACATGGGAACAGAGCAGCCAATCGGGTGGGAAGAGCACTTTGTGTGAATTGAAAGCTTGTCAGCATTGCGAACAAAGGAGGAGAGGAAAAGAGAGATGCAGTGATGGAAAGGGCTTGGTGAGGATTTCTTGTCCCCCTTTCCCGTTAAAAATAGTCACCTTTATAAAGTGCAATCTCCCAAAATACTGCTCTCAGACAACAAAAAGGGGATTCTATTTAATTCTGAGATTCCTCCTGCAGCCTCTGTGCCACAATCCCTCATTCACGACACTGATATTTGACTGCAGTCATGTCGCAAAACATGGAAGCCTATCATTTAACTCACCTCTCAACCATTCTGGGCAGCACCAGACGGGTCATCTACAAGAACAACAACAACATAAGCTCAGTTAACATCAGCTGACACACAAAACAATGATGAAACTCATGAGGGAGAAGAAGGGTACTGGGGAAAGAAGGGAAAGAGTTTTATTTAAATAAAAAAAGACTAAAAGTAAAAGGGAGAGACAGGCAGAGACCGACACAGGGAGAGAGTTGCGTGGGTGGTGAGTACAGACAGCGTTGGTGTAGTCCACCATTGCTTTGGGAACAACTGAGACACTGCAGGTACCATGGTAGAAACAGCAGAGGAGGAGGAGGGAAAAGAAAAGGAGGAGAAGAACAAAAGGGGGGGAAGTGAGGGGGAAAGTGATAAGGCATGGATCAAACTTTAAACAAACACTTGGGGCGTGATATAAATATGGAGTTTGCAACACTGGGCTGAAGGTTTGGGGAATATTTCTTCCCCGGAGAGCAAAAGTGTGCAGAAAACAAACTCACCTGGCACACTGAGGTAATGTTGACGTTGATCATGTTTGTGATGAACTGAAACACAGAAAGCACCAGTCAGATAAACAATAGCACATATGATTATGCAGAAATATCACAAAAGATATGTTTGTTGTTTAGAAGCTATAAATATGATCACTAAACTGTTAGGCATGAGACAAAGAAAATAAATCTGCAAAATGGTGCATGCTTTTTCCTCACAGGCGTACACAAGTCACTTATTTTGCACTCCTAACTAGCAGCATCAGAGAATTTCCACCTGCAGATAAAGACGAAATAAGAGCACTCACATTGTTCAGATCAGGAATATGGAGGTAGTACTCAGGGTAAGGGTAGGACACACCAACATTGTTGACTGTTGAAGACAAAAAAGGAGAAAATAATCTTATTATTCAACTCTTTTCACAACATAACCAGCTACTGGAGAACACAAACTCACAAATTTCTACCACAAGGTGGCAGCAAAAGCAAACAAGATAGAAACAAGCATTTTCTACTCAACACAAGACACAGCCACACCTTACAACCAGTAGAGCACAATTGGTATCATAAAAAAAGGACAAAGAGTTCCTTAAATGTTCAGCTAAAAAGTACAACGTGAACTCTGGAGTCTAAACGTCTAAAATTACACTGACATGCCAGGAGTCGTGATGGCAGTGTCGCAATGAGGTTTTCTGGAAAGTCTCTAAAGCTCAAGACAGACTTTTTAAAAGGAATGCAGACCTCAGAAACATTTTTGTGCACATGAGTGTTCATCTTTTGTGTTCTGGTAACATGTCTCTTTCACAACAGCATCATAACTCAAAAAAACATGACCCCAGTCAACAACATGTGCATTGTAGTTTGTCAGGCGAAGTTGAGAAAGAAGTCATTTCAAGTACCTAAATTAAAGGGAGTTTAAAACTATTGAAAACAGGAAAAACACCAGCTTACATTTCCACAGCACGTGTTTTACAATTTGCTTTGACTGGTGCGTGTAATGAAATCCAGAAGGGAGGTTTGCCAAAAGTGAAACAGAAGTTAAACTGTCCGTGCAAGTTTTTGTACTCCACAACACCCTCCAACCCCAAGAATTATGTCCAATTTTAAATACTAAAGACTCTCTAAGCATCTAATCTCAATGCAGCTCGCACTGCCTGAATACACAAGTTAAGTGATGCTTACTTTGCCTTTTGCTGTTGCTTTGCTCTTAAGGATATATCTTTATCATTTATGTCTGCAATGACACAGCTAACTGCACTAAAGATGCAGCAAAACCAAGCATCTTTTCCATAATATGTCGACATGCAACTGGTGCCTGTAGGTAATCACTGGACAGAGTTGTAGCAAGCATAAACACACTGTCCTGACTGAAAAGCAGCTCTTACCAAGAACACCAATCTCAAGACCAGCCAGCCCCGCCTCAATCTTGTCGTAGATGTCCGCCTTGCCGAAGTCCACTGCAATGGTCTTTGTCTCCACTTTAAATTGATCCTCTGTGAAAAGGAGAAACAAGTGCTCATTAACTTTAAGGGTACAGTGATATCTGTGTATGGCAGTGAACATAAAAGTGTTAAACTGTAAGAATGAAAGTTTCATGGTGCAATTTTTTGACCCAAGCTCAGAGTGAGGTATGTTTAAGATAATTCATCTCCACAGCACACACTCATATCATGTATCCATGTGTCACAAATCAGCCAGCATTACGTGGCCCAACAACAGAGCAATCCCCCTGTTTCAAAACCCCGGATCCATTCAAATAAATGGAGCGTGATAGCAGCCACTGTCAGACTCAGGCTGAAGAGGGCACTGCGTACCAACAAACCAGCCGAGCCATCCTCCTCCCCTCCTCCCCTAACCTCCTCTCCCCTCCCTCCACTCCCTCGTCATGTTTGACGCGCCTGCTGCAATTAGAATTTATTGTCCAAAGACTCGTTTAGCTGATAGGTGGCGGAGGGAGTTATAAGAGGAAAATTCCTGGGATGTGCCTCGGTAAAGACCAGGAGTGTGTCAGTGTAGTTGTGAAGAGATAAAAAGGGGGAACCTGAGAGGGGTGCTAGGGGTTGCAGCCTCCCTGAAATCTATATCCAGTTCAGATTATTTTTAGTCATCACAGCTACTTTGAGTCCATGTCAAAGTAAATGATAAAAGCAGCTTTGCACACAAAAAGCAGAAATATTATGGCTGCCAGATTGGAGGAGTAATTTGGGGTTGCCGGGCAGGTGCGATCAAAAGTCAAATGAGACGTTTGCATAGAAGAGAGGAGAAACACTAATAAGAGTAAAATAGAGGTGGGACAGGGTGGGTTTGGCCGGTTACATGCTAAGGAGGGTGGTTTTGCTAGACTAATCGTGAGGGAGGAGTGCCAGAGTTTGGCACGCCGCATCCCGCTCGTGACTACCCATCAGCCCCCTCTGTGGACTTGAAGCACGACAGGGGAAATTGCGCTGTGGGAGACGTCAGAGACAGATGGAAAGAGAGCGAGTCAGGGAGAGGGCACTATTTGAACAGGGGGTGGGGGTTGGGGGGGCACTCACCATTCAGTCTCTGTTAAAATCTGGAGACGGGCCAGAAAGGAGAAGAGGAAGGAGGAAAAAAGTTTTTCCCTTTCGTATGGGTGCTCAGTTTCTGTCTGTGTAGACGTGAATGAGCAAACCCTGGTCTGTTTCTCACAATTATCTCAGAGGAACAGGTTGGTCTATCAGGCTGGATTTTATTCTGTCTTCATAGAGACAGTGAGGAGGTAAAACACAGCCTGCTTTGTTGGCTGCATGTTTCCAATTCACCAGCACTCAAACACAATGAAGGCATGACTTAGCAGGTGCAGAAGAGCGTGAAAAATAGGATTCAGAAATTACTCACAAAATGACTCTGTGAAATAAAAGCATACTGTTTTCGAAAAAGGAAGTTCCACACCTTTGTTGCGACAAAAAAAGTGCTAACTTGTATTTTGTCCTCATAACAGATAATTTTCGCTGCTTTTCTTCGTTTTTGACTATATTCTAAATCCTTATGTCGAGGATATGCCCTCCTATAGTGGCCTGGGAAACCCTGTAGCTGACGGGGTAGGAGGTTGCACGTCACTACCTGCCCATACACACATCCTCATCAGCCCACTCACTGTGCTCTCAACCCCGAACAGGTTTCCATGATGTTGTGCAGACACACAAACACAGACACACACTTACCAAGTGACCTGGCCACGTCATCCAGCTTTTCCTGGGAGCGACTGATCAGCATCATGGCAAATCCTCGACGAGCAAGCTGCAAAGGAAAAAAAAAAACGGTCAGTGACGAATACACAACTTTGACCATTATAGTAACATACTGAGGACGGTGTCACACAGAGTGCTGGCAACTATAGAGGGTCACAAGAGGAGACGTAAACTTTTGGACTTCAGTGTCCCGAAATCAGAGATCTTTTTGTGTTTCGTCGTTTTCATTAAAAATCGCTTCCCTGGAGAAAAAAAGTTGATTGTTTAGTGTCATTCCGAGGTCATCAAATATCGTGACTTGGTTCAGTCTACCAACCCAAGAGTCGGTTTTTGGAGGAATGGACTCAACTATCTTGCTCCAGAGTTACATACGGCACTTTTAAGTTTGTTTTTCCCAACTTTCAATAAATGTGCTTGACTCTGGATCAGAATATTGGGAGAGCAATAGTAACATATCCAAAATGTCTCCTATGGACGTAGATTAATCACTCCTCTCTCTGTATGTGCAAACTCAGTTGTTTTGATCAGTTTGTTGGAAGCATGCTTCCCAAAGAAAGACTGACAGAAGGCTTGAGAGCTGAAAAGACTTCAGACTTAACTTTAATTTTCCTCAACTTGTGTCTCATTTAGAGCAATGATATATCGATTGGTGATATATATGATCAACTGTTAACTTTTAAGAGCAAAATAAGTTTAAATTCTCTGACTCCACTGTCTTAAATGTGTTTTCATTCTGGTTTCTTTACTCCTCCATGACAGTAAACTGATTGTCTTTGGGTTGTGGACAAATTAAAACCGTTGAGGGTGTCATCTTAGACTCTGGAAAACGATCCACATTTTTCACCATTTTACAGACCAAACAACTGATTGAATAATCAAGAAAATAACCAACAATGAAAATAATGGTTAGCTGCAGCCCTAGTCCCATTCTGACTGGTTCCTCTGGATGCACAAAGACTCAATCAACGAGTTTCCTCAGCCAGGTTGATTGTTGGGTATGTGGGCACGTTGCTGTGCAGTGAACAAATCTGCTTGTGCAGTTCAAATGATTTGAAACGATGCACTTAATCGCACAGAAGTAGATTTATCATGTTCCATGTGGAAAGCAGAATCCAAGTGTTGTGTTTCTGCATAAAAGTTAACGTGCAAAAAACACCCTGCATGGCATAAAACATTGGGCAAAATGGTGGCCTAGCGTTGCGTAACAAGCGGCTAGCCCCACTGTAGCACCTACAGCAACGGCATGAGTCAAAGGCCCTACATGACTATATTATACAGCCAGCACACCCACACTAGTATGGGCCAAACACGTGGCAGGGTAGCCCCTATTCAACGTGTGCTTGTTACCTCCGTATGTGCTCCTGTTGACGAGCCTGTGCTGAAGTGTGTGTGCATAGGTGTGTGAGGACTCTCTTCCACGTTAATAGGCCTATAAGAGCTCTCCCCTACCGTGGCCTATGAGTGAACACGGTGTGTGTGTGTGTGTGTGTGTGTGTGTGTGTGTGTGTGTGTGTGTGTGTGTGTGTGTGTATGCATGAGTCACAGCTTTGCCGTGAAAGAAATGAAATAAATAAGGGTCCAGGAGCCTCACCTCCTCCGCATAGGATTTCCCGATTCCATCCGTGGCTCCCGTCACAACTGCAGGGAGACAGAAAAGAAGAGAAAGAGGTTAGTATTGGTTCTCTGAGCAACACTTTTAAACTATGTAACAGGGCAGGAGTCAAGTCAACTTCTGTTCACTAATGAGGGAGTAGATGTTCTTAAGTCGCTGAAAGTTGAGTCAAGAATGACTGACGTGATTAAAACCATGGTTTCACTTTGTATATCCAACCTAGGCACAACTTACTCGAACCCTGTCCAGTGGCACATTACATCAGCAACATCTCACCGACAAGTCACGCCAGACTGACTCATTACTCTGGCACATCTATTATGCAACCGCCACCATATCTGTTATCTTTGCATCTTGTGACAGTTGCACATAAATGACAAATATGACCCTCTTTGTTCACAGGCTCACAACACACCTTCACATCAGGTTTGACCACCTATAATTGTCATCATATTAGCTCAGAGCCCTAACATGGAGTTAAGCCCGAGGCTCTTCACGGGTGACAGATGGGACAGTCATACGAAGGCTCTAGCGGCCACACCCCACGATACTATTCACCTGCTGTTTAGGAAAGCCTCTCTCTAAACTCGACGATGACAGGGTGTCCATTCTCAAAGTGCACACAATAGGGAGCGTGCAGTTCGATTTTGGAGCAGATATGCAAATAATACAGCCCAAGATAATATGGATAGGAGTCAATTCACAAAGATAAAGCTACAAAGACAACAGAGGGGATGGAGATTGTATAGAGGCGGAGATAAGATGGTATAGATTAAAGCAGAACAAAAGAAGACAGCCTTCAACACCCACTGATACCTCACTGGGAACAGCTCATCTGATGCAAAACAATATGATTTTCAAGATTATGTTCATCTAACTGGCAAGGTTAAATCAACTGTGGACTATCTGCAGTTTAGACAAAAGGTGGAGGAAGGAGAATGGTGGAAAACCGTAGGAAAGGTTTCACAGGTGCATGGAAAGATGGTGAAAAGCGGTCGAATCGTGGGGAGATGAAGACGGAGAGAGGAGCTGATGTTCTTCTTGTGTTCAGAGTTCTCCTCACCTTGTCAAGCAAGCAGGGCTATTTTTAAACATTCACTGCCCATCAACCCCAGCTCCTTCTTGACTGACGGAGGATGGGGGGGAGAAAGGATGGATGGCAGGAGGGAGGAGGGAGAGAGAAGACACAAGACAAACAACAAAAAAAAAGGGGTAGTGGTGGTGGTGAGGAGGGATTGGGGGTACTCACAAATACACGCACACATAGTTGTGCATCATGAATATATTATTAGCAAGGCTTGATGAAAGATTAATAGAGGCAGAGGACATTCTCTGGCAAAGAGCTGGAGAGCAGGAAAAAGAGACAAGATGAGAGAGGGGATGCGGAGAGGAGGGTGTGATGACGAACATGGAGCAGGAGAAAGGAGGAGGGCGAAGTGGGGTAGGGAGGGTGGGGGGAGCGAGGAGGGATCCTAGGGGCGGCTAAAAATAGAACTGGAGCGAAGCAAGAGAACGAATGAGTGAAGGAGAAAGAGACAGAATAGAGATGGCGGTGGAGAGGAGGAGGAGGTGGAGGAGGAGGAGGGGGGAGAGAAGAACAAGTGAGTGAATGAGAGAAGAGGAGTGAGAGCGAGAGAGAGTAGCACAAAGTCAAAAGTGAAAAGAGAGCAGAATCCCTGGTTATTTTTAAACCTCCCCCGTGTTAAGAATGAAACGCTCCGTGGCAGAAAAGCCTCAATGGGCGCGGGCTGTACCAAATCAGGCTCTTGCTGCAGATGCAGGTGGGGGCAAACAGAGGCAGGGAGAGGCTACATTCGCTGCAAAGTAAAATGGCTAAGGTGGGGGGGAGACAACAACCACCTCAACAGAAAATCATTAAATCAGCTTTTTCCTAATATAATCTAGTGAAGTGAATGAGGCTTGTTTGCTTTACGAGCGACAGGGCTCATATTTTACACAGATCCATCACACATGTGCCACAATATCATGGCTGACAGGTGGGAATCTCATACTTCTAAGGAAGTGTAGCTTTTTCTGGTGGCAATCATGCAAGTTTTGAGTTCATCTGATGAGTGCTAAAGGAGTGTAATGAACACAAGGGAGAGGAGAGCAGCATGAAACCGTTTAGATCATGAAAAATCAACACAACTGGAGGTAAAGTTGCTGGATGGTTACAGAAAGACAGCCTTTTCTTAAGCAAGAGAACAAAAGTCCTGACTGATAAGGAATACCTTCCACGATTCTGCTGTAACTAGGCCTACGATACCTTCGAGGAAGAAATGACAGGCCATGTCAGCAACTGAGAACTAGAGAAAAAAAACAACCATAAAACAGAACAAGAGCACTGACCACATTCCAGTCGCATGGGACAATAAAAATACCCCAGAGAAAAGCACCTGGGATGACGTTCGCCTGCATGACTGAGTTTCAGGTGCAGAACATTGCTCCTGCGTGCAAGAATGTGTGCAAAGCATCTGCATTTGAACTTTAACCTGATACAGGAGAGCGTGCAAGAATTTGTTATGCGCCAAAACACGTGTGGTGCATGAACATTTGAACTTGAACATGACAGCAAAGACCATACAGTACTTGGCTACGTGTCACACTACATATGTTCAGGCTATGCATGCCATGCATTGTAAGAGAACAAAATGAAGTATCACTCCACTCTTCTTGCTTTTCAGTCTCACTTCTTTCCGCTAAAACAAGAGGTGAATTTTGCTTTAAAAGGGGACTAACCCTGGATTGTCTCATCACTAAACAACGATTAAAATCCTTCCTCTTTGCAAAAACCTGCTGCATGTCAAGTGGAAAACTTCCACTCTGCAAGTGTATGGTATTTGAGTTAGTGAAGATACTGCTGTTAGCCAATCAAGTCTTTAAACTCATTAAATTAATAATCTTTTAGCAGAAATATCAAAGAACATTCTAATTTTGGCAGAGCAAAGCACATTTAAAAATTTAAGCCATAAAAATTGTGTAATATCAGAACTAGCGCAGGAATCTGCACATTTTTAAGACAAGGTGACATTTTGAAACATTTCCAGCTCTGCACTCTCAAACTTCTTCAAATGAAGTGACAGTTTAACCAAAAAAAATGAACGCAAATGAAAAGTATAAAACTGAAATATGTAAAGGGGATTTTGTTGGGTGGTCTGAAAAGTGGGAGGCTAGATACGATGGAGACAAATAATCCCTCTATCCACTTTAGAGAACAGCTGGATGAAAGAAGAGGAGACATAAACATCAGAAACTATTTTTAGTGCCACTTACTTCTTTAAAAACACTCTACTTTGAATTGTGATTTTCCACTCTGCATTTGTCTACCCCTCCCCACCTCCACCTCCACCTCCACCTCCACCCCCCACCCTTCCCCACAACCTCCAAATCCTCGTGCTATAGTTATGAATGACTACACTCCTCCCACTCATTATATAATAGTACCATTTTCTCAATAAACGTTGTCTGGGGAGTGAGTGAGAGTGAAGTGTGTGTGTTTGTGTGTGTGTGTAACGGGGGGCCAGTACAGTGGGATGAGGACACTGAGTTCCTCTCGAGTCTTAAGATATTTCATTTCTTGCTTTTGAGTTGCTATCAGCCATCACGAGTGCAACTAATGCAAGAAAACTATAATAATTTACGGTAAAAAAGGGACAATATCTCAGCCACAAAGACAACTGAATGAAGTCTGATGCAACTCTTTCACCTGTAACTGGTGACCTTTCAATGATGAACACTGCAGGTGTCACCTTTACAACTCCTCACTGATGCACAAGCAGAACACCAGATCAAAAATACTACTGCTCAGTCCAGTCACAAACACACAAACACCCCAGTGCTTCCACTAGGAATTAATCCCCCTAGCATGAGCAAAGCATTACATCTGTGACACACACAGATGTAATGCAACAAAAAGGGTCTACTCAAGCAAGCACGTGACTGACAGCAATGCCACTGACACTCAGAGACGCACACAGACAACAAAGGGTGAATGTGTGTTGATGGGGCAACCACATATGAGAGTGATGTGTACCATGAAAAAACAAAAAGGAGATTGGGGAGAGGCCGGGGGGGGAAGAGGAGTGTGTGTGACTCCATGAATGTATTCAAGTGTGTGCTGGCAGAGAGGATGTGTGCACCACTGCCTCTCATTCATTCCCAGCAACAATGCTCATTTCCCCCCCATTCCTGCGCCTCTGAGGGATCTGGTCCACCATGCTGGCTCTGAAGGGCCCTGATGGGGGCGCATTTGCGCCGCCGCTCTGCTGTGCTTAGTGCTGCACATCACGTCCAGAGGTATTGACATCCCCCAGCCTTTTCTGTCTCCCTCCCTCCTCAGCAGTGGAGCAGCCCCTGCCGCTGCCTGCTCACTATTCCGAGGGTCTAAAAAAAGCAGCAGGAGGAGTAAAAATAGCAGCGCGCCTGCACTGCCTCGTCTGGGAGCTGCCTGCCTGCCTGCCTGCCTGCCGCAGCACCTGAATACCAACAAGATCCCCCACCACCATCGCCATCACCACGACGACCAGGCTTGCTGCTGCATCCTCAGCCCTCCACCTAAAGCCCCCCGATGCCAGCATGAGCACTGCAGGCTGGGGAGGAAAAGAAACACACATAAGATGTGATCTGATGAGCAGAGCAGGAAGAACACAAAGCTCACTGATACATGGAGAATTTAGATTAACGTGGACTGCATGAGAAGGCACGTGTGTGAGGATGAGCAGCTCGTATTAACAAGACAAAAGAGTCATGAATATGGAGATTCAGATTTCTATGAATCCACTGATTATTCCTCTCTCAAGATTAAGGTGGGCTGATTAGTAAAATAAGCTGATCTAGTGTTTAGTTGTGAAGAAAACTGGCATGGCCCTGACTATCAGTTACCCGCAGGGTGAGTGTGTTTTTTTTTTTTTTTTTAGAAGATTCAACTTCCTATGCAAAGAGAGCGAGACAGAGCTAAAATGAGCGCAAAAACTTCCCCCCTCAACCCTCCCCACCACCACCACCACCAAATCCCCAATTAAGATTC